ATATATATATATATTTGATTTAACAACGTAAACAGACCTGCTGTTTCTGAATGCTATCGCGTTGCTTCTGATGCTTCTTTTTAAGCTCTTCACTTTCCTTCTGAAACTTCTTCAAAAGTTTGGCAAATACTTTGTCCTTTTTCAGATCGTCCACGTCGATAGGCTCAACCTAAAAAGCGTTAAGCAGTCAAAGTGCTGCCAGAAAGGAGTTGACTCAGTTGCACTGTCTTAGCAAAATTCATGTAAAGGTGTTTGAAATCATGCAGAAAAAAAAGGTGCAAAAGAAGACCTGGTAGACAGCAATCAAATATGTAATTCTCATAGATTGCTGATCTTAAAAAATATTGTCGTAAAGATGTTTTGCAGGGAAGAAGCATAACAATAAAAAGGTCTTCAGATTCTGGGGAGCGGTTTCGTGCAGGAGGTCCACCTGCAACTTCTCATCCAATTTTTTCATGGAAGTTCGTCTCATGGACAAATATTGAGAAGATGTTGAGTCTGAGCTGATTTTTCTTATATCCGGAGGGGCTGAGAGATGCGCATTGTGCTGTGGGCCGTCAGCACGTGTGCCTCGCAATACAGAGCGCTTCCATGATGACCCAAACTGAGCATCACCATTATGCTTGTTTGGAAATTTAAAAAAAGGATGAAACAAGATAAATAGTTAACTAAGATGGAGTGTCAACTACCTTAAACTTATCCACTGGTGCAGCCTCATTGTTCGCTTTCGAAGTTGTGACCAAATTACCATCAGAGCGCGCAGATGATGGAGGATTTTCTTTTCTGAAAGGTAATTTGCAAGCTAATCTAATTTCAAACCATCTCAGATAATCTCAAAATGATTACTCATTGAGCAAATTAGCAGCAGAACCGTTCGTTTTCTGCAGAATTTTGCTCCTCACGGCACTAGCCTTAGCAGGGATCTAGAATGTGATAGATTAGGTACTTCAGCATTTCATAGTCAAAAATTAAAGTTTTCAAGAATTTTATAAGAATGAAAGGAGATGTCGAATGAGCGTTGAGAGTGCTGGGTAAAAAACTCAATAATAGACGACTAACTTTAGAAATGTTAAGGCGTCAATTAAGGAGTTACCTAAATATTTTGCAAGAAAGACCTGATGTAGCTATTATTTGAAGCTAAACCAACCAGAACTTGATCTATACCAAAACATACATGATTTTAAAAAAAAACTCGAACTTCGGCAAATGTAAACAAAAAGGAGACTTTAAAAGTAATGTCCTGCACACCTCGACAATATCGCTATCATCCACTCCCATGTGCGCTAAAGCTTCTTGCCGCTTCTTTTGCTCGGAAAGATAAGCTCTCGGATCAGCAAGTGCGTCCACAAGACCTGATTGCTCGCATAAGATGAAATAAGACAGATGAGATTTGCGACTATACTCACCACTAAGTTCATCAGGAACATATGTCTTGATCACAATGTGTACAAATAAAGTGGGCACAAGGACCATCGTCTGAAAATTGTACAAATTTAATAATGCGTTATTATGAGAGTGACTGTGGAGAAGACTCTTTACAGAAACACAGAAGCGCAGTACTGTGGTAGCGTAGCTTCGCATGACTATCACTGTGCAGCATGGAACCGTGGTCCTAATAGTGAGATCACGCTTCCAGAAGTAAACTGTTTGAAAATTTTGGAAAAGTCTTGCCTTACACAGCCGTCGGTCCCGAGACGTCTACAGTTATTCTTAATGTGATAAATAGTACCATACCTGATTCGTGTCCGATCTAAGCGAGATGTGGCGATAACCAGCTTGGAGACCATCCAATGGCAGAATCCGCTGCCCAAGTTGTTTGCCATTCTCATCGTAAACAGCGAACCGTAAGACAGCCAGTTCCGGAAGCACAACCTAAAGAAATTTTTTTAAAGGAATAGATCAAAACGCTATCTCATACCAGTTGTTGATATTACCTCATATTGGTTGCTACATAATTCCCTATTTTTTAACGCATTTTTTCATACTTTTCAAAAAGTTGTAAACGGTTCAAAAGCACCATCTACAAAAGCTTGTCCATCTTCATAAAAATTTGATTTGTTTCGGTTTCTAAGCTGATAAGCGAATGTTGAGCTGACAAAAAAATAGCATTTGCACAGCTGCTACTGCTTCTTTCCAAGCTCAACTAAAAACTAATGTCTTACAATATTGCTAAAATTTAGTTTGAGTTAAGTTTTGAATATAGAAGCATACCAAGCATCGCAGTTAACCCAAATTTGGACGAGACCCTTTGACGGTACAATATATGTTCTTCCGACTTTGCTCTGGAAGATTACCATTTTCCTTTACTAACCGCTCTACGAACTGCAATGCGTAAGCTTCAATTACGCAGCGCTTATTAAATGGCTGAATTACTATCTCAAGAGAGGCCTAACAAGTAGTGACAGAATCGATCAATTTTGAAAAAGGATGAGTAGGTGTGAAATGGTGAATTTATATTGATCAACTCCAAATTGCTCTTATAATTTATTTAGTTATGTAGGTGTAAATGAAAAAAAAGTGTAGTTGTCATGTTTTCTGTCGATTCAGATTTCATAAATTTCAAAACTTTTATAAAATCTGGATCGATAAATTTCTAAAATTGTGAATAACGTTCTGCAAGCAAAGAAAAGGTTTTCGAACCCACACATAGCTTTGGTTATTAGAAATGTGAACGACCTTATAAACTAGTTTGAGATAAACAATAACCTTTCGGAATACAAAAGGAGCCTCAGCATAAACAGGATTTAATCCATTAGCAGCTACGGTCCTTGTCCTGTGCTCTTTCCTGATGGTATCGGTAGGAAGGCCATACATTTCTACTTCCACGTACGTACCAACCTTTCGGTCAGTAAGGAATTGTCCCGAGATTACCTGAAGATCTCTAAATGATAGAGGAACTTAGAACATTATGAAGCCATATGTCTAGTTATTAAAATCGCACATAAAAATTTTACAGATCTCGCAAAATGAGTATGTATTTAACTCTTACGCAATTTGTATAGAACCCCGAAAATTCAAAACGCAGTACCACCTACTCACCCGCACACTGCAATGAGCTGCTATGACACCATCTACAGGTGATTCAGAAAAGGGATCGAACGTTCTATCAGGACGACGCATGAAATCGGGTTTCAGCAGATACCTGAAACGGTTAATTCATAGCGCTCCTATACTGAGCACAATATTGCTTACCCAGAGCCGGCATTGTACTCGAATTTCCCCATATTCAGTTGCATATATACATCAGGAGTTTGGAAATTTAAAGCTACCATCTGGCAGCCGGCATTCCAGAAAATCTAAATTGAGGAATAGGCAAAGGAAGAAAAGGACAGATACAATGGACCAACCTGCGGCAGAAAGTTGCTAGAATCCACTCTTGCGCCCTTCGGATATATTCTACTCAATTGTCGTTTGTTGTAGTTCACGAACTCAGGGGCACACTGCTTCAAGTATCCGAGACCAGTAGATTCCGAGAAGGACGACATGTGGTAATGTAGATTGTTGACTACAAGAAAAAAAACCAATAGTTCTGAATAAATACCCAAAATTTGAGCAGAAACTCTATCAATATAACCACCAATCAAGGTCAATCATCATCGCCTACACATAAAAAAGAAGGTATGTACTGACTCTATGAGAAACTCCGTTTGACAGTCTCGCTATCTGTTCGTGTAATTCAAAAAACTGTGAGAAGACCGTAAAACGCGAAATTTTCCTTGTACTTTCTATCCACACCTATCACGTTTTTGGCAGTTCTGCACAAATATTGGAGATTCGAGCAAGCTAAGGACAAGTTGTAAATGGAAAGAGATGAATGGGGGAGTGGAGGGGAAGGGAGAGCGGGACATAAAAAAGGTCATACTAGAAGTTAGGTTTGGCTTAGACCTCAATTCACATCCGCCTACATAAGGAAAGCTATCGCTTCCAAATCTACTTTGCTCTTGAGAATGAATTATGGTGCAGGAATACAATACCTTATGTATCACATTCCAATGAAATCAAAAGATTGCAAACATGAGATCTAACTGTGACATCAGAGCACGAAGGATAAATAATTTACTTCGCGATCAAAAAGAATGAATATAAGCTCACCTTCTGCGACATCGAAACCGCTGAACTTCACCGGATGCGTATAGTTAATGAGAGAGGACAATAGCGGGTGAATATTCGTTGTTGCTCCCGTATAGTGGTACTCGGCAAATATGCGCTCTTCTTCCTCCTTCGTCAGAATCGGCTAAAATACAACTCTCAAAGGACAAAAAAAAA